AAGTAGTAGTAGTAGTATATATATATATATATATATATATATATATATATATATATATATATATATATATATATATATATATATATATATATATATATATATATATATATGGTATGTAATACAGAGTAGTGTTACTACAACTCTTGTTATTTGAATTTAGATATAACGCATACCGCTTATTCCTGCCACATACTGCCCATTTTCTCAGCGATCGCTCTGCGCCTAACTCCATTGAAATGGAAATAGTGCTGAAATGAAAAGGAGCAGAGCGAAGCTGTAGTAGAAGGAAGAGGAAGCTAGTGTATTTCGAAAACGACGGAATGGAATCGGGCGGGATGGTAGTCAGGGAAGGAAGCAAATGCTGCATTGATCGCTGTGTGGTATATGTAGTTGCTGCAGCTCTTGTTTTTTGCTACTGCTCTACTCACAAACGTTACTCGCTGCTGTTAACGACCACTGTGAGGGTGCGGATGCACGCACGTATATAACACATAGGCACCAACTGCAAGAGTGACGCCGGAAACGTACATGATAGTCGGTCAGTCGACGCATTTCTGGTTGCCCATTTGTGGTTTACGTAGGAATCTTCCAGATTACTAATTTTGAAAATGGGACAACATTTGAGCCTGAAAAGGCGTCGCAACATGAGCACAGGTGCTGCTACTGCTTCTGCTACATCTGCAACCTCTATTACTTCCACTGCAGGAGCAGCTAATGCTATCGAGAGCCAGAAGCTTGGCGACGAAACTGTGGTACACATCCTTACCTTTCTTATTTGCTTCATCGACAAGACCCAAAAAGTCTAATAGTTGCTTATGAAGTGCAAACTGCGCCAAGTAGTTAATAATTTTTTGCGTTGCCCATCTTTTCTTTGATTCAGTCTATTGTTTCGGTTTTCTTATTGGTTGTAGAATTTTATTACTAATCCGTTTACAGGTGTCAAGTCCTCGAGTAGAAGCAGCAGATGATGATGACACCATTGATGAACCTCCAAAAATCCAACAAGGAAACCGGCGACGTCTTGCAGTTAGCGCAGAGGTTTGTTTTTTGTCAACTTTTGTTAGCCAGAAATATCTAGCTGCACTAATTTTGGTTTAACCAATTAATAGATTTTTTTCCGCAAACTTTGTTACTAATAGTTTCTTAGCTATGTTTTGGACTTTTAAAGGTACCCGATGAAAATGAAGCTGCAAATTATGATAAAGTAGTGATACCTAAAGATGATGAAACTCGAAGGGCACTGGAAGCAGCAATGTGCAAAAAATATCCTTTTTTCGCATCTTGAAGTTTGTTTATGTATTCATTATCTTTTCCCATGTGTTTGAAACTCATTGTTCTCTGAATACCCAAAAAGATTTGGAATATCTTTACCTTATCTCTGAGGAATACATCAGCAATCTTTTCAGAAAAAAAAAACGAATAGTTCGAATCTTTAAGCGAGCTTGTTTTACATATTGGTATTTATCTGTTTTTAAAGCAATTAAAGTCTGTTTTGTCTGGGATAAATTATATTCCAAATGCAAACCAGGGAAGTCGTGCGTTGAACCGTAAGGAAAGGGTCATAATTTTAGCCTCAGGTCTGTGTTTCCCTTCACTGGTAGTAATTGGGGTTATAAAGAAATGATGGCGTTGTTTTTTTTTTTCATTTTTTTAAAAGACGAGGAGTAATATTTAAGCCATTCATTTAGAATCTTTGAATCCGAATTTCTTCAATTTGGAAATGAATTTTGCACTTGCAGAGATCATTGTAGAGAGGAGTATAAGTTGTCTTCAGGGAGACGAACAGAAAGCTATGTTTGACGCCATGTTTCCTGTTGAAAAGAAAAAGGGCGAAACTATCATTGAGCAGGGAGAGGAAGGCGATAATTTCTATGTGATTGATTCCGGTGAAGTAAGTTTTCTAAACACCATTCCAAAATAGTTATTCAAAGAGCAAATGAGTCTCATCACTCGATCCACTGCTGCAAAAAGATTAATCGTATGGTCTTCGTCATCGATTCTTTTTGTATTATTCTATTTTGTAGTCATAATTGAAAATCTTTTCTCATATTCATGCTGGAATTGATTGAATACGGTAGAAAATTTATGAGCCGGGATTTCCACGTAAATCCCTCTAGCAAGAGCGCTTGATCCATTTTCATATTGAAATTTCTGTCTTTTTCAGGTAGACGTATTTGTAAATGGTGAATATGCATTATCTATTAAAGAAGGTGGTAGTTTCGGTGAACTCGCTCTAATTTATGGAACTCCACGGGCAGCAACAGTAGTTGCAAAATCTGATGTAGTGAAATGCTGGGCGATTGATCGTATTACCTATCGACAGATCCTTATGGGATCCACAATGCGAAAGAGGAAGCTTTATGATGAATTTCTGTCGAAAGTCCAAATCCTGTGTAAGTCCTTCCAACTATTCCTTGTCTTGCTGATATTTGAAGAATCTGCAGCTTCAGTTGCGTCATGGCTTGGATTATTCGTTGTGTATTAGAACAATTCTGCATGTTATCTTTCATTGTTAAAGCTTTAGGAGATTTCTGAGGATTTCAGTTTGAATTATTCCTTGATAGTTTCAAGTTTTTATGATATTTTACTGCTTCATTACATCGTTACCCTGTGATTATATTTGAAGAGCTTAATATTAAGACTCGATTAACTTTTAGCTGATCTTGACAAGTGGGAACGAGCGAATGTTGCTGATGCTTTAGAGAGATGCGATTTCGAACCAGGAACACGTGTTGTTGAACAGGTTTGCTTTGCACGTACGGTCGTTTTCGTTTTTTATTTTTAGAATCACTAGTTACTATCATCTTTTTTTCGTTTAGAACATCTCAATGAGCTTTTAAGTTACAAAATTCACTTTCAGTGTAATAAAATTGTGTGAATTTAACGCTGATTTCGTTTAGAACGTTACTCGCTTCAAGTTTAATCTGTTCGTCTGGGAAGCATCCTCCATGTGCTTAGCATTTTTTTTTCTTATTTTTTTCATTACATAAAATAAGGGTTTAGGATGTGGTTCTTTTCACCATGTATTTTCACCCAGATTTTACAGACTGCCGAACTTTTGTTTTTTGAATTAAGGGACATCCTGGTGATGAATTTTTCATCATTGTGGAGGGGCAGGCAGATGTACTGCAGAAGCGAAGTGACGACTCACCCTTTGAAATCGTTGGACATTTATCTTCATCGGATTATTTCGGCAAGTTTTTAGAATTTCATTTTTAAAACCGTTTGATTCCATAAGTTTCCTGATTAAGATTACTCTCAAAGCATCCCAAGGAGCAAAGTAAAGGATACATTTTAAGTGCTGACGCCATCACCATGTCTGTTGTTCGGGATGTAAACACGGTTTTTTAAATTCTAAGCCTTGCTTTTTTTTTCAGGTGAGATAGCGCTTCTTTTAGATCGGCCACGAGCTGCAACTGTAATCGCAAAAACACCTTTGAAATGTGTAAAATTAGATCGAGCACGATTTGAACGTGTAATGGGACCGGTGCGTGAAATCTTAAAAAGGGATGTGTCAAATTATAATTCATATGTCAAGCTGATGACATGAACATTCATTTAGTTGAGGCCATATAATTTCAGCAACCTTTTCTTTTTTACTAGATATATTTCCATATTTTGAGGGCGTCTGGTAATACTTGGTATGAATGTGTTCTAGAATTTTGCAAACTTTAATGGATCGAAAGTATTTTCTATCCTTAAAACAGTAAATTTCGTTAACGTTTTGCCGCAACTTTTATGTCCTACCACACGGTCTCTCCTTGTATGTCTTCGATTAGGGTTTAGACATCTATTTCAGACTATGTATTTTTCAGCAACTCTGAAGCTTTAATGGTTAGGAGCATAAAATGTTGAGTGGAAATAGCAAGCAGGCAAAAAAATAAGTTAACACTTATTGGTACTTAAACAGTTCATTTGTGCAGTAACTTTAGTCATGAGGTGTTTCAATTCGCTTTTTTTTCCCAATACCCAATTCCTAACAAGCTGTTGACCCGTCACTTTAAGGGAAAATTGAAACGATTTCATCACATTCTTCAGTTTGTAGTCCTTCGTAATAATCATATTTTCCAGGTTAGTTTGCTCCAAAATTCTGTAAAGTTTTTTGTAAGACAGCAGTTGTTTTGGTTGTGGTGATATTCTTGTCTTTTTCCTTTTTTTGCCATCCGCAAATAGCTATCAAGTTCACAAAAACTAATATTTCAAGTATGGTGTTATTAAATGACTGGTTGTCCTTGTTAGATTTCATTTTGTTACATAACTTTTTCGCCATTTTCAGTTCCTTTTTTCGGTATTGCTGTATCACCATTTTCCCACTCAGTTGCTTTCCTTTTTTCCAGTGTTCCAGTTATAATTATTTCAGTAGCGCCAATCCAATTTTTTTTGGATTAGCGCTCATATCCATAAAGCATATATATATATTGCTATTTTCTGGATTGCTTTGTATATCATCCAGGTCTGGAATTCATTTGCTTTTGACTCGATACATTTTCAAACACCAGCTTCTCTCTAACTGAAGTATATAAATACAACAATGTCTAACTTTGGGCAATGTATTTACAGCACACAAAATGATCAATAGGCATACTAATTTCACCGCACAATAACAGGTCTTTCACTTCAAACAGCTGCTTCATTACCGTTTTGCAAAGCTGCCAAGACGCTGTCACGACGCTTCACAAATAGACGACCGTCATCCCAGGGATTCTGCAATTTCATGGGTGGGAAATCGTCTCGCAGTCTACGTTCTCTGGAACCAACAACTACTGCCAAACAAAAATCTTCTGGGTCCTTAGATTCGATCGCTTTTCCAGCTTCTGCAGCCGCTTTAGTTAACTGTTCAGTGACCACAGCAACAATCTCACTAGCAGTGGTTGTTGATGCTATCTGAAGGCGAACCGAAGTACCACAAGTAAGGCCGCACTGGTAAGCGGCGTAAACTTTAATCACTCCAGTAGTTGGAGTTTTTCTTGGTTGTAAACATTTGTCGAGCCAAGGTTCAGTTATCGATTTGGTTAGTGAGATGACGCTTTGTGGCCACATATTACAGAGGTCAAGATATAATGGACTTGTTGAATCCGTTGGATCCTGCAGTTTACAAAGTAGCTTTAATATTATACACCAGAACACATGCATCATTGCATTCACCAACCAGTGTGATATGTTTTTGCAGTCAACGAAGCTAGAGGAATTCCGGAAGACAGGTATTACTCACGCTTCTTCCTTGCTCATTTTGACTACCTCGGTCATTTATTTCGTTGCCGATTGTAAGCAAACGTCTCAGTGGTACGACACCTGTGGCTTGTTTGTTTCGTGCAGTAGAAGCGACATCACCAATCCATCTCACTGATTTCCAAACGTTTTCTAATCTGAAACAAAAGCGAAACATTTCAGAGCTGCGCTGGAAAGGAACTGTCAAGTTTTTTGTAAAGAAATTCTGTTTTATTTCAAAGCTATACCTGCGTTGGAACTCGTCCAGTTTTAGAAGTACATCAGCGTAAACGTCGACATCTTTTTCCAGTAGGCTGTTTCTCTGTTCGTGTTGTATGTACTGAAAGTGAGCTTTACAATGAACCGTTTACAGTTACGAAGGAAGGGGATAAACGTTTACCGAGAGCAGTATTAAAAATTTTACAATCTGAAGCGTTTTGTATTTACCGTTGAGAAATGTTCGATAAAAAGTGAGAGCCGACAATAGTTACCGATGAAGTCCGGATTGTACGTACACAAATGAACTGAAATCTTTAATGTATTTCCACAGACGTATTTAAACACATTCTACGAAAAGTGCAGACGGAGTTTTAAAGAAATCATATGGTCCACGTTGTCATACAGGGGTCTTAATTCGCCACAGCTGGTAAAACTAGATTAATAAAGCATAGGTTTATAAATCTGAACAAAGCTTACAAAGCCAATATTTCGGGAGATTTGTGAGGTGGATACTTTCCCTCCAGTATGGAAAAGAGACGAATACGGGATGAATTAAAGTTCACTAGCTGAAAAATCATGAGATACGGTATACTTACTCGCTTCGAAAACTTGGAGTGGAAGTGTGAAGCAACCTTTCTGTATAGGTGACGATTTTAATGAAGAATAACTTGGCACAGTACAGACGTCTTCAGTTTTTGGTAATAGCTAGAAAGAAATTCGTCTGGAAGTATCTGATTTGATCATACTCGATAAATCTTCGCGTTTTTTTAAGACTTGGGATGCCCTTTCAGAAATCGTCAAATGAAAAATACATGAGACCAGAATTAAAGGATAATGTGTTCATAGTATATAATAGTTATCCCTTCTTCCAGAAAAGGAAGATTAGAGAGCATTTTCGCATTGAAGAAATTCAAGTACAGAGTAAGAGCAAAAGTTGACTTGTCGTAACCTTATAAGATTACCGGATGAGAAATATTAGTAGTGGTAGTGCAATCATCAATTATTAGAATTTAGTAAACATAAATGGACTGAATTCTTTTTTGTAGTAAATCTATATCAGAAATAACTTACAATTATGAAGGAAACGTCGAATTGTAATTGAAAAACTTGTAAACGATAGATACGTTGATTTGGTATGAGATCAATATCAATTCCGAGATCATTAAGTAAACGAGATATTGCACTAACAAGGGCAGTGTGAAAACTGAATTGCACTGGTGTTGGAGGGTTTGATACGTTAATATCCACGGATCGTAACAAATCCCACTCTTCTTTTGTAATGTGTGGATTCTTTCTGCAAAATTATTTTGAAAATATATAAACTGGAAATAAACATACCACTTTAAAACATTCGTCAAATTGCATCCCTGGTAATTAATCTGAAATCCTTCTATACTGAAGTTGAACACTTTTGACCTTTGAATTACAATGTCCTTATTTAAATGGAATTGTGCGTTGCTGCTGGAAACTTCATCCATGAGGTAGAAGGTAAATGATGTGCTGAAAGGCGAAAATCAATTTACCTCTCGGTTTTCTTTATTTAAAATGTTATATTGAGAAATGCCGGGTTCCAAATCAAGGTGATGATTAATTATTACTAAAGGTTCTAGCAAAATTCTTGCGTTGCCATATACGGTGCTCCATGGATCAATCAATCGAGAATTATTTCCAGCATAAGATCCAAACCCAATTTTCAGTTTGGTACTTTTTTTCATTCATAAATGTACCCTACCAGGCTCAAATTTTGCGACACCGTTATCTTTTCACAGTAAAGCAAAATTTTTCGAAAACCTCGAATTGTTTGAAAGTCTGTAAATAATAAATCTAGTTTCTTTCTTCCAGTTCAAACCTCAGTTCTCCAGCGATATTGAAGAAATAGGTAAATCAGCAAATACCAAACTTTAAGAAGCAGAAAATGAAGACTTCAAGTATAAGTTGCTAGGATGAAAGAATAACTAAGTAGCAGAAGAATGCAAGCAGCTATAATAAACAAAAAAAAAGATGAAAAGTTATCTTATTAACGCATATGGGAGAATAGATGGTGTATCTCGAGGCACGACGACGCCTATGGAATTGATGGATGAATATAGTTTCATGTAACATATATACAATCCTCTTTGCAGCCTCACATGTGAAGACTCGAAAAAATTGATAATCCTAAAAATTTCTGCCCACAACATATCCATCGCCTGACAAGCTCCTCGTTTGCGAACTATTTTGTTCAAAGGCAACCATCTTGTTGTCAGACCCTATAAATCGCTTAATTTCCGATTAAAATTCTCAAGCAGGACATAAAATATGGATATACTCGGGTGGAACGAGATATTTACTATCGGTATATAAAGTCTCAAAACCTGACCTAAACGTCTCACTGCAGAGTGAACAATGAGACAAGGCAAAAGTGCGATATGGTGAAACATATGCTCTAAACTCTTCAAGCAGTTAAGAAAAACACTTATTATTGTATAAAACTTACGTAATGAATTAGTAGTCTGTTCAGAAATTAGATTAAAAAGAGGTACCGAAAATTCCTTTAAAAAGCGAACGCATAATTGGGTTCCAATTAAATCTTGCTAATTAATACTCGTTTTAGCGCTTCAGTGGATGATCTTTATATTTTCTATTTCTTCAGCAAGAAATGAAGATAAACAATTCTGCTGAAAGGCTAAACTGCAGTGTAACAGAACCTAGGAAGTTTTCGGAGAGAAAGATCAGTTCTATTAAAGTTATTAAAAGAATACAAAGATACCTGAGCGGTTTGTGATCCGTTTAAAAAACGAACTGTGACAATAAAAGAAACCGAATTTGTTTCGTCCACGATCGGCTGGTAATGAACTCTAAAAAAAATTAAACATTTACAATCTTTTATACTTTCGTCAAAAAATCGACTTGCAAAAAACTTTCACGTTTTGGTTTATAAGCAAATAATAACCTTCCGATGTCTTTCACTCCAAGAACTGTATGCATTTCTATTGCAGCATCGATAAATCTACTACGAAAATAAGAATTTGACGAGCTTGAATTGTTTGTTTCCTGCAAAGTCGACATTTCATCCCAGGCTAATGAGAGTTTTATCGCCCAGTACATCTCATCCTGAAAAAACGAACGCCTTAAATTGGAAGAAATTTGTAGTTTCGAACTTCTTTGCAATTCTTAAAGGAATCTGCGATTTGGGAAACATTCAGGAAATTTAAATTCAGACTTACCTTCCCGATGCAAAACTGCGTCTGATCAACAAGAATAACTGGAAGATAATCTTCAACAGTACATACTTTCATTTCTGAGTAAATGATACTTACTAAATAGATACCCCTGTAAGGCAGTGAATATATAATACAAAACTTGCAAATTCAGATTCATGATTCATGAATTTAAACACTTAAAAAGTTTATTTTTAAAAGGAGCCTTTCCACCGAAGTTAGGATAACATGGTGCTTCTTAATAAAGTGTCAAGAAGAAATTTGAGCTATTGCGCTTTTGCATATTTACATATCATCATTTATTATATAAAAAATTCAATTTCAAAAACACCTTTGTATAAATTTAAGAGACCGGAAACCGCCAGCAAAGAGACTTTTTATGTTGCCTTTTTTCTTTTTGTCGATTATTTCGTTTGATTTGGGAAATACTGCAAATCATTCGTGATTTTAAATCAAACACAAAATTAGGTTTTCCGGTATAATTATATTAAATTAGAGTTCAGGAGATCTGATCTTCCGAAAAAACTGAATCTAAATTCAAACTTAGTCATGCTCACACGTTTGCCAAATTGGAGACGAACGATATTTTTCAACATCCAGAAGAAGCTTCGAAAGATCACTCAAGTGATATGGTCGCTGTAAGCTGCTTGGTACGTCCTCCCAACATGAAATCAAAATTTATGAGGATTTCAGTCGATTTAATGAAAAACTGTAGCTACGTTAGAAGTATTGATTAGCTAAAAGCTCGAAATTCAAAGAAGGTTTCGATGCACGGTAAAAAAAACGCATCACAAATTTATTAAATTCCATAAAGTACTTGAAATCAGTAGTGACTTAGGTGTTGCTAGGGTCGGGTGACCAAAGCCACCAATGGATGCAGCACTAACGCGCACAGAATATCGTAATCCACGTTTCAGTTGAGATATAACTGCATAGTTTTTCATAATAGTATCCAAAAGCAAGCTTCCCTCAGTACTGTTAAAATCGTCGCACAAGCTCCATTCAACTAAAGTTTTTTAAATTCTACAAAATTCCATAACTAATTTCATGCATAACTTTTCAATGGTAAAATTGTGAAACGCCAACCTTTGTAGTTTACAACAAGATCCATATTATGTTGACGAACATCTTTCCAACTTACTGTTAACTGATCTGATGCTGAAACAACTGCTTCAACGTTGGTTAATGGTCCAGGAATAATAGTATTTTCCAAAATAGCCTTCATTTTTTTCATTTGTAATAGGCGTTTCTCTAGACACTCTACCTGCTTATCCTGCAAAACTCTGAATTACTTATTTTTTATATAACCAAAAATAATTGAACACTGTTTCACAAAGGAAATTTTTGCTCAAATAATAGCGTTCCTCAGATGTTACTTTATTTCGAAGAATTGAGGTTTGATTAAAAGTTTTAGTAAATTTACTAAAATTTGATTTAATATAGAAAATACATATGCAGTTTGCTCACTTCATTTTGAATATTGGTGGTCCTCAAAAATCGAATTTCCTCAGTAATAAGTTCTGTGCTTTCTCGAATTTGTTGTAAACGGCGTTCTAACGGACACGCTTAAATATTTCAAAAAAGAATTCTAAACTAAATTCCATTGATTTGATTTCTTTCGTTCTATAGAATCAATCCTTCTGAATGGGACAAAAGTTGAATTTCATTCTTTTATGAATAATAATACGATTTTGTATTTCAATAGCATGGATATTTAAGATATTCAAAAAAGAAAAAGGTAATTGAAAAGTATGTATAAGGCCGCGCAATACTCACAATCAACATCAACTGTGGCTCCACTTCGCAGTAATATTTCAGCACACTGTCGATGACCAAGCATTAAGGCAAACTCAAGCAGTGTCCACTCTTCCAGGTAAGCGCCGTCGATTCGGGCATCAAATGGTATGTCTGTTTTCGACAATATTAATCTTAGCATATCCTCATCATTTGTCTCAATAGCTAATAGCGCTCCTAAAATTTGTTATTATATCATTTCTCTTGATAATTTAATGTAACAAATTTTAGGAGTTTCTCCTAAAATTTGTTACATTAAATTTTTTGTAAACAACAAATTGGAAATTCCAACCTATCGCACTTTAATGTTTAAATAGTTTTGCTGCTTTCATAAAAGCGGATGAAAGAAAATTAGGAAATAATGGGTTTATTCTGATGCTAAAATCTGATCAAAAAAGTGAACTAAAATTCACACCATTGGAATTTAGCATATTCATTTTCAATTTTCTTTGTAAAATTGTAAAACATCGATTATTTTGATCATTTGATTTATCGTTTCACATCGCCGAATTGCAATTATTACTAAAAAATGTAGATCGCATTAGATTAAAAATTGAAGATTATCATCCGTATAAATCAACTGAAATTCTCGCAGGATTCTGAAGCAATTCAAGCAAATTATCAAAGTCTGAGGTATCTGAGATCTACTAATAATCAGTATTAATGACAACGATGATAAAGAAGATATTGGAAGGGAAATTTCTGAAGAAGTACGGCAAAACGTTAATTTAAAGAGAAATATAACTGTGTAGAGTTGCTGATGGAAAATCAAGTTATATTTAAGGGACGCAAACAGCGTAGACAAGGGATTTAAGGGTGTGCAATGGGAAGGAGCAATTGAAGAATGTCGATTTCGTGTGTCTCTGTGGTCGCAGAAATTAAATCACCCAACTACGAGGTGATCGTTTTATAAACCTCTCTAACATTTTCTAAAGACGATAGAGCAACTGATGGCAGGATAGGAGCAGCGATGAATTAATAACGACAAGAAAAGTATTACCGATATAATTTTATGCAAAAATTGAACACCTGCAAAAGGAGCATTATTCTGGTACTCTGCAAATAGTCACTATACATACAAATTAGTTATGAATTTTTCTCCTCAGCTTCAATAGCTCCGATTTCAGTTTCATTGCTACCAGTTAAGGTTAACTCCTAGAGTGATTCAAAATGCTAGAGTGATTCCCGAAGACGTGCGTGTCATTAGAAGAAAAAAAATTTGATGCAGTTAAAAGAAACTTTTGAAAGTTTGGACAACCAAAAATCTAGAGACCACCTCAACATTACATGCTATAAGAAGTTTAATTAAAATGCAATTTTCTACTTGACGATGTTAGACACTGTCTAACAATTAATAAAATTCAGCAAATTTGAAATCAGTGATAATGGATGAAAAATTTATGAATTTAGGTACATTAAATTACTACAGGTTCGAATTAAATTAGTTGTAGATTTAATAAATATATTGAACCTACCCCGTATGAGTTATCTTTCGAAGACTACTTTTAAGGCTAACTGATGAGCTCCGATTCTTGTAACGTGAACATAATGCGTACGATTCTGTTCTCGTAAACATACGGTTGACTCAAACCTGGAAAGATTCCTTGGAAAGTAGGAAACAAAATCAACGTTCATGCATATAAGTAGTAAATTGTGAGGTTTGTGCCATGTGACCAGTAATTTCAAGGTCACTGAACTAACTATTCAATTCACTGTACTCCTCAATAGCAGACGGTAGATTGCTATAGTGCTCACTGCTGCCTGCATACATCCCATGCACTGATCACTGTATTCCTCCTTTGATGGATGGTCGGTATCGATCATATCAAGATATCCCGAGCAACCAGATTACAAAAAAGCAAATGATTTTTTTAATCCCTCAATTTCAATCTGTTTCTGTAACTCATTCAAGTTCTGACCAGTTTCATTTCGATTGAAATTTCAGGAGATGGGAAACCAGATTCTAGAAACACCTTTATATATATATATATATATATATATATATATATATATATATATATA